TGTTTTTAATGGTAACTTAGATCTGTAATCAAAGATTTTTATTATTTTTTCCCTTTTTTAACCAGCGGCCCCTCCAAAAATTTCAACTGCCCACCCGAAAAACGAAACCTAGATAAATCACTGCAACACAGAAAAAGTAATGGAACAGATGCTATTGTCCTGTAACAATAATGATCCATGCTTCAGGTGCGATCGAAATGACTTACCAAAAGTTACAGGGGGGCTGTTCATCTACCCCTACTGGTAGCAGAAATACTAAACAGTTCTCAGATTTTTAACAACGAAAGTAACAATCGCTTTATTTCTGAACAAGATGTATTCTTATGTATCATATATTGCCCACAAGTACTTTTTGTCTACAAACAACAAGACTCACAGCAAGGAAACATTTCATATGTGGAAATGATCGATTTCAAGAATTTTTTGGATGAGGATATCATAACTGTACAATATTATTCGTTATATCGTCTAGTATCATGTGTATATATGAAAGCGTTCAATGAATACGGCGCCATGTTTTATTGTAATGATAAGCAGTATCATTGTATAGAAAGAAACAACACGTTTGTGTTGGACAAGAGAAATATTAAACAGTATTAGCAATCGTCGTTACCAGTACTATATTTCTTAAAGTTTGTCTTTATGTTTATCCGTCACATCGAAAACTCACGGACGGCGTAACGCAGCGCAATGAAATTTTCACTGGATGCAGTGCCGCAAATTTCTAGGTCAACGCAACTTATTTCAGGTCTTGATGTTGTGTCGTTCATGAGATATCAGCACTTGAAGTTTGTATAGGGGAAAAAATCAAAAAAGGGAAAAAATAATAAAAATCTTTGATTACAGATCTAAGTTACCATTAAAAACAAAAAGAAAAAAGAAAAATATCATCAACGCATTAAACAGAATTACCTTATTATTATCTGCAACAACCTTCCTGACCTTATTGATCTGAACAACCAACGTAAGAGAACTTTAAGTAATTAAGATTAATTATAACGCTTTTGAGCAACGTCCTAAATAATTTTTTTAAAGTTATTGCAAGAAAGCGAAAGCTTTTTAATCCAAATCGCATTCAAGCAAAACGTCAGAGAATTTCAATAGACGCTCAGTCAGATGAAGCACGAGCAGCTACGCGAGAAACAAACAGAATTCAGCATGCTGTCAGAAGAAATAATGAGACACCTGATGAAACTGCTGCGTGATTAGCCGAATGCTGTGATCGAGCTTCAACATCGCGACTTAACGAAACTGCCACCGAGACTACCGCGCGACGAATGTCAAATCAAATTCGTACAATGGCTGCAATAAACAACGAAAATGAAAGTCAGCGACAACAACGGCAACAAAGAGATTTGCAATCGCATCAAACCCGAAGGATAAGCGAGACTGCTGCAGCTACTCGATGCCGACTTCAGAATCAAAGAGTGCGACAAGAAACACTAAGAGCTAACAACTGGCTTTATATGAGAGATGAAGCTGTCGACTATGATGCCTCACTGGACTACGCGAATTTCATGCGAATCACAATTGGCAAAATGACTTCAGAGTGTAATTTCTGCAACGCCCTGAAGTTTGAAGGAGAAACGCCAGATCTTTGCTGTTCAAGCGGAAAAGGGCCGCTGCCAGAGTTATTAAAGAGTATAGTGAATGACGATCGTCCGAAATCGAGAGAATTCTTTAGCCTTATCAGGAAATACAATTCAAGCTTTGAAATGACGTCATTTAGAATCAGTGTTCCTATGCAACAAGGCCAAGGATTCATGTCTACGTTCAAAATTCAGGGGCAAATCTACCGTAAAGCTGGTTTGCTTCAACCGCTGCCTAACGAAGATACAAAATTCCTCCAAATCTACCTCCTTGGAGGTGAAGAAGCTGAAGCTCAACGTCGCTGCGCTGTGATTCCTGACACAAACAAGAGCTTAATTGAGTCCTTGCAAAGGATGCTTCACGAACGCAATTAGAATGGCAACACATTATGCACCATCAATTATCTTTCGTCGATTAAGATTATTAAGATATTAAATTTCGTCGATAAAGATAATTGATGGTGCATAATGTGTTGCCATTCTAAACAATAGACGAACCAATATCTCACTCTCGCCATGCCATTTGGATAATAATGTTGAACATGTTACATTAAAAAGTGTTTTTCTAGTGGCACAGCTTTTGCCAACATTGTTTTTCCTTAAGAAAGATGGTATATAAAAGCAGAAAACACAGTCACATCAACTAACCTGTGCTCGGAGGTCCATACACTAAAATACTCTAACAGAGTAAATGCTCAAAATCTTAACGCATCTCAATCAATCAGTTACAATCTCACCTTCCAAGGGCGTCGTATTCCTTTGAAAAAATTGGGAAAAATCGCTGGCAACACGAGTACTTCTCTAATCACTTTTTTAGCTAATTCACAACCAACTATAACATCCCTAAAAAGTTATAGTTACAAGAATAACACTTTGTAGTAAAAATATTGTTTTTCCTCTCTGAGCATTCCGGTTCTGAGCATATGTCACACCCAACAGAAATGATCCATTGTTGTCTGACTTACTATGAGACTTTTGATTGCGGTGCAGCATTTCCTTTTTCAATTCCTCAACTAAATGCTTCTCATGTTCTTCTACAATAAAATCTGATTTTGAAGTAACGAATGGTAGTGATTGTTTTTCTAACATTGCGTTACTGTTAACTGGGGTCATTTTTTGTTTATTTTCATTGAATATAATTTGAGTATTATTTAACTCATCCGGTTTCGCATTTTCGTCTAAAAAAAATATACATCATTGGGATAATTGTTTAGTTACAATCAAACATGTACTCACAAATTATCTTTGTTATTTTCAGTGGTATCTTTTTATGTCTATCATTCAAATAAAATAACTGAAGGAAAAGAAGAATGCAAATTTGTATGAAGAAAACGAAAACTAAACACTAAACTTACTGTATAACCTTCAATTAAATTGCCATGTTTCACCGACCGCAATATCATCGCAGAAATTTTTTCGAAATTAATATTGTTTTTTTCCAACAAAATAAGTTTAACAATTTTCTGAAGAAAAATATACAAAAAACTTGCTTTAAATATCCATGCTGATTAAAACGTACTTTTGTTCAAAGCTAACATGTAGTTCATTGATAAAATGTCGATTAGATTGTGGGTATGTACTCGTCGTTGATAATGCCATTTTGTACTAGGATTACTGTCTTAAACAGAAAACAGATTAAAATGAAACTAAAGTTCGATAACAAATACTGAATTGCTTTGGCAGAAAGAGCAATCTTCATTAGTTTCATGCATATGAATAAGATCGCATGAAGTAATATGCGTGTGACAAACGCACTCTTTGACGAAATTATCCAAAAATAACTGTGTAAGAGTGCTAAGTTCTTATACTATACAGGTTATATACTTAAATAATCATATTTAAAATTCAATACCCTTTTCTAAATTTTGATGAGTAACAGAAGCCCGCCAGTTCCCAGCATGACTATAAGAAAAGTAACATCATATGTCTGGATCCAGCTGTTTCATACACTTTTTGCGAGGAAGGTTTGACTGGAATGCGCGATACATCTAATATTTGTATCGCGCATATATATTTGGATAAAAATCAAATTTTCGATTTTTCTGCAAAAATTTGGAAAAAACTGCGACTTTAAGAATTTTCTCAGTGAAATATTTAAACTTCATTAGCATTGAATGTCTCTGTAGAACATGCTATAGCGAGATGCACAAAACTTCATTGCATTATATCCAATAAACTTTAGAATAAAATAAAAGTCGATAAATCTTGATAGGTGGTAAATTACGAACTACCCGTTATGATACAGAGATAAAAAATCTCTAGTATTCATTCAATTAAATTAAATTCTCTCATATGCGCTTGATCAAAATAAGAATAAGGAGGAAGAAATAATTGTACACACCAATATGTTACATACAAAAATTAAGATCCATCATTAACCTTAGTAAAGCTTTACTCTAAGATTGTAGTTTTATTTTTCAAACACTGTTCGATAGTCCTCCAAATTCATTGTTAAATTGTGTCTCGATAATGTTCTACAATTTTAACGACATCATTTTTGAACGATCCCATTGACGACATTGCAAATTAGTTATTTTATTATTAAAAATTAATAAAAAGTACAAAGTTGATTGCAGAGGGTAAAAGGAAAAGATAATCAAAAACATTTGAACGCTAAATGGCTCAATAACATACATACATACACATATAACAACAACTATAACGAAATTAAAAAAGGCAGTGAGAAAATACCATATAAAACTGTATACCAGACAACTGGTGATAAGGTCAGTTGCTATCGGTACCATAGTTTCTACTACACTATCACACTGGATGAAATTGAAAACGTCAGATTTTTCATTCACAAATTTCTTTCAGTCTTGGAATTAAGCGCTGATCAGCGTAAGCAAGTAGTTGACATAAGAATTCAATATTGTCTAAAGCATGTCCATTGTAAAGAAAAGTCAGTGAAGGAATAAAAGATGAAACGCGTAGATTTGTCAGTTGAATTGTTGGTCAAAAGTAATCAATTAGATTTTCTAATAGGTTCGACGGTATTGTCATCTTCAATTCGGGATTATCCGGACTCTAAAAAAAGAAGCAACGTGGAGATTGTGAAAACATTGATTAGAAATAAGAAATTATTTAGGTATTTACCTCCATCCAACCACATAAGAACATACTGCATTCGAGACGTCAAAATTTATGGCAGAAAAGTTTGTTGCCATCTTCGGCAATAATCGAAACATCGTACAATTCAGGTCTAAACAAAACTGTAATCAGATAAAGAAACAACGTTAAATCCACTTGGTTTCTGATTACTTACAATGCTTGACGAGAAAAATGATTTTTTTGTTTTAATTGAATCATATTGGTATCAATAAGATCATTTCGTTGACGACAATCTTTGGTTTGTAAAATTTGACTTTTTGCAATAACAGTTCGGCACCAAGCTGAATTTCATCTCTAAAGATAAATAAAAAATAAAGTAGATAAAAAAAAACAGAAAATTACAAAGTCACAGCATACTTTGTCATATCGGAAATAGCTTTTGTCGGTCGTTGAATTATATTTGTAAATTTGATACCATACTGTGACATACGTTGAACATCATTCGCACTGAACGCATTCAGCATAAGACCGGACATATACAAAAGTTTCCCTAAAAGATGAAGGGATGATTTTTGAAAAGAATATATATTTTTCAGAATGATCCTACAAAAGTGATTTCCTAGTCCACCATAATGATGACCCTTATGTACAGCAATAAACTTGGATTAATTCCAGCCTGGAATAAAAGAAAAACGCACAGATTAGCTCAATCATACAAATAGTTTCATCAACTTACAAAGACAATGTCTAAATTTGGCTCCAATATATCTGATAATATGCGTTTTGTTAGTTCTTGTTCAGTTGCGCCATCAAAACAATTCGGATGGTATTGATGATTTTTCGCTTTGCTATTTTGGTAACAGCAACACGTGATGTTGGTGCTGATGGTGTAGCTGTAGTTGTTAGTAATGGCGCAGAATTTGGAATTACTGATTCTTGATTTGGTCTAATAGTGAAAAGAAACCATAAATATAACAGAGCTACAGCAAAGAGTCTTCAACAATCAGGTGCAAATGAACGGGTTGTACATTATAACACTTTAATGTAACGATGTATTGTTTTTTTTTTCCAACAAACTAAGCTTAACAATTTTCGGAAGAAAAATACACAAAAAACTTGCTTTAAATATTCATGCTGATTAAAACGTACTTTGTTCAAAGCTAACATGTAGCTCACTGATAAAATGTCGATTAGATTGTGGATATATACTCGTCGTTGATAATGCCATTTTGTACTAGGATTACTGTCTTAAACAGAAAATAGATTAAAATGAAACTAAAGTTCGATAACAAATACTGAATTGCTTTGGTAGAAAGAGCAATGTTCGTTATTTTCGTTATTTTTCCTTGTACACGGCTACATTCTATCTGTTTTTCTGTACTCGAGTTTTTCCTAAGATGTACGACTTTATATTTGATATACGATATGATTTTACTCTGTTACATGTATGCGAGGGGACTATTACTATTTTTTGTGTATCTCAATATTTCGAATGTATTTTTTCCGGCGGTGCTAGAACCCTTTCAAGGGTTAGACATCTATTTTTGCTAATAAAATAAAGAAATAAAGAGCAATGTATTACAGTCTCATATAGGGGCTATCATACGTATATCTGACGACAAGCCGTACAGGTAGTCTACACATAATCTGGAGTACAGCTCATAAAATGTGCTAATGGTCTCTTACTGCTGTGAAAAGGTTTTAAGAAAACTTAAGGCGTCTTCTGGCGGGCTTGAACATTGTAAGTCGATTACAGCGTCTGTCTCAGATCGAGAGAAATTATATTAGAGATAGATAAAAATATTTCAAAAACACACATCAGCTTGTGAACATCTGAACATCTCTGACTAATTATCGTCGACAGGGGCGTACCGAGGGCTCAAAAGCAGGGAGGGGGTGACTTAACATTTTCTGTTAAATAATGTTGTTTTTTTACGAATAAAAACACGAAAGAAGATTTATCATATTTTGCTGCGGAAAAAGCAAACATTTTCAAAAGCAGGAGGGGATCACCGCCACCCATTTTGGAGTCCATAGAATACCTGATCCAAACTTATAGCCAATTACTTTCTGCTAAAAAAGTTTCCATTTATTTCGCAGACTTTTCAAGGCATACAATATTGGAACGACTTTTAACAATTTCATTTCATTATTTCTTTCAAAAAATGCTTTTAGTTTTATTAATTTATCAATATTCTTATTTACGGGAAAATCTTAACCAATCATTCTTTTAGCCGTTATTAGCGATTGTTATTTACGGCTAAAAGTATTTTACGTAGTAAATGCAGAAGATGAAAGAAAAGAAGAGGCTTCTTAATTGTGTGTGCTGCCTTACAGAACATTTTTATCCTATCAGTCGATTTCATTTGTCTTGAATAAGTGTATTTGTAAAAGCTTGAGAGGCTCTGTGAAAGGATAAAGAAGGGTGATGAAGAAAGAGGCAAAAAAACAAACATTTCGTGAATAGTCATTAAGAAAGCGAAATGGACGAAAAAATCCTCTCTGTTTTTATACAAGTACATGTTACAGCCTAGGTCTTTTACACTCAACGTGTCTGTATTAGCCATTGTATATGTACATTCTCTTTTTCTCATCCGCTATCCACATGTATTCTTTTTTCGGAATGGCTGTTGACACCACTAAGAGGTGTCAGCAAGAGCTATTGACACCACTAAGAGGTGTCAGCAAGAGCTATTGACACCTCCAGATAGTATGTAGACTGTGCGAGAAGTGTATTTCATATAATGACATGAATGCACTTTAGATATAGGTGAACTTCGGTGAAATTCATTGGATGAAACTTTAACAATCCTTATGCTACATGGGATAAATATTCATGTAGATTGGCGACATCATCGAATATCTGTGTAACTGCTTCGTGGCCGAAGAAATCCTCTTTATCAAATGAGTTCTTTTAGCGTTTCAGCATGAATCTTAAAGTTTCATTCAATGAATTTCACCGAAGTTCACCTATATCTGAAGTGCGTTCATGTCATTATATGAGATACACTTGTCTATATCTATATTTAAGAAGAAATGATCATTTTGATTTAGTCGTTGATCTTGAATGACTTTTCAATAAGAAGTGTTGATAAACGTCGTAAGTCAGATAGAGCTGTTTTTTATTTCATAGACCCTTGGAGGACAGTCAGAATAGTGTGTTTAGCTCGATTGGTAGTAACAGGACCGCATCATCGAAATATAGCTTAGCTAAAGTTTGTTTCTAATTTAAGAGTGGAAATTTTCACTCAGATTAAAAACCACATTTTGTTTTATTTTGTTCGCCAGTTTAAAACCTTGTTCTAATATCTCAATTTCAATAACAATAATAAAAAAAGATTAATTCGTTTCATTCGGTTCGTTTTGGCTACCTCTTCGTACAGATCAACCAAAATCAAAAGCTCTGTAAACTTTTACAAGCAAATCTAACCGTAAAAATCGGGTGAAAGTGTACCTTACCGGTGCTAGCTTTATTTCATGCACTGGAGGTTGGAGGTGTCAACAGCTCTTGGTGACACTTCTGATGGTGGTGTCGATAGCCATTGCTGACACCTCCAGTAGGTGTCAATAGCTCTTGCTGACACCCTTCGGTGGTATCAATAGTCCTTGGTGACACCTTGTAGTGGTGTCAATAGACTCATCCTTCTTTTTTTAGGTTATACGTATAGTCATAAGAAGTATTTAGACAATTACACAGACCGCAACAATTAGACACATAAAACAATGGAAAGAGGAGATATTTCTAAAGTTGTTAGGCCCAATTTGTGCTCTTTTCATAGATGATGAATAAGGTATAAGTAGTTGAGATATTAGAATAGAAAGATAGAGAAAAAAGTCTTGTTTTACTCGTATCATTTTGTACACATGTTTGCATAAAATATGCCTATGAAAAAACGCGTGCCTACATGCCAACACCTAATGACGCTTAAGTTTGTTGCCGAGTTCAACGAGCATTCTCTTAAATTCTTTCCGAAATACTGGTCCGACTAGAGTATAAATATAAAATGTCATGCTCGTATTCATAAATGACAGAGTAATAAGTGTCTGTAACGCCTTGTTTTCCTGTTGTAGCTGCACATTTGTTTTATACGTGCTTTGTGTGACTTGTTGATACAGCTTGAATAAAGTAAGTGGCAGGGTAAATACTATACTGTTTATTGCCTGAATGAATAGCATAAATATTATTTGTTGGCTTTTATAGTGACTACGACTATTGATAGCGATGGTAATTGTCATGGGTTGTACTTGTCTACTAGTTTGTTTTACGTTGAACATCGTTAACGGAGCAAATATTGTCAGCAAAATGAACGGTAACATATTGTAAGCAATCATTAGTGAATTATCTACTAGTGATTTACACAGACCTTGTTTTGCCACACATGTCATACCGATAGTATCATAACAAAAGAATATTGAAATATACAGCATTAATATAACAATTGCTGTAATGGATAGGAGAAGATTTGTGGTTTTAATTGAACTTGTTTTTCTAAATCGAGCTTGTTTACTACTCGAAAAATACCGATCGACCATTGCATATACTTGATACCATGTTGATAATGTCAGTGAAACATTGATTAAGTAAAGTTTCAATTTACATAAAAATGATATTTTTAATGAGTAGTCAGCATTAAATGTGTTTAATACTCTTGGCACTAGGCCAGAACAGAGCATCACAGCATTTGCGATGGATGACGCCAGCAGATAGATTGAACAGGGAGTTTGACGTAAAGTTTTGCGTGAAAATATTGCGATGTTGCATACATTTCCAATCGTACCAGCCAATATAATTGGTATAGGCAGATAACGATCGATCAGTTGTAATTCACTCATTACTGGAGCATCGTTTTTCTTCTTCGTCGTTTTTCAAATTATAGTTATATATAAAAAAATGTATCTTCATTAATATTACTATCCCGTTGCGAATAGATTCTTATACAACAAATGAATGAAACCAATGATTTTCCTTTCATTCGAAAAATGTTGAGATAGATTTTTCTTTGAAACAAACTATAGAACATCTTCTTTGCTTTAGATGAACACGGCGAATAGAAAATCGTCTCGCTCTTATGTAGCTTGACTGTTAAAAAGTCAGCCTTTCAGGGACTTCTTCAAATCACTCTCAGAAACAACTCGTATTGGCTAAAGTGGAACAAATTTTGCCAGTAGATATGTTCAGTATCCATACATCGAATCGCAGGGTTTTCCTGTCACACTCTTGGACTTTTTACAGTTTAGAAAATAATACAGTGTTATGATACAAGTTGTATCATACAACCACTGCCACTTTGGCATCTGTGTCAAAACAAGGTCTGTGAGATTTTTTTTCGAAAAAGATGGACTGTACTTTAATCAAAATTTCAACACTAGATTAATTGATTACTTTGAAATAAAGAGATCGTTTCATTTAGCAAATTACTGGAAGAATTTGACCATAACTGCTATGATGATGTTTCAATAGTGGTTGTATAGTTGAATGACCTTATGATATGTTAGATAAAGTTATAAGTATTTTATATTTTGTTCTTATTGTTTA